TGGGAGAAATCGAAAGAGGTTTCTTCCTTCAATTATCAGGAAGCGTCGTTTCAACCACAGGCGGAACGGATGAAGATGTCAGTACTAGCCAGAATTTGAAAGGCAAGATACGCCTTCGTCAACCTGAAACCAGTTTGGAAATCGTCTGCTCTCACTCTGCATAAAGAACAAGATTCAGATATCGAACACAAGTGTGAAGTCGGTCCTGCTATACGGGTCATAAACTTGCACTGCGCGTCACGAAAAGGATTTCCAACAGGTTGTAGACTTTTATCAATAGCCGACTTCGCTCCATATTGAAGATTAAATGGCCAGCTAACCAGAAGAAATTAGTAACAAGAAACTCTGGGAACAAACCAATCAAGAGCCGATCGCTCAACAAAAGGTGATAATAAAATAATTTCTTCAGAATGCATGTTATTCGGATCACTGTTTGTAATCTGACGAATACCATGAATGGTAATCAATGAAGCAGGCAAATTTTCATAAATTTATTTACTGCTGGTTGTTAAGGAAAATTGGTTTTATATCGTTCATATCGACCAGTAGTGCTTGGTAGCCAGCTAGATTGAGGTTATCAAAACGTCGAACGACCGTTTCACTAATTTTGTGCTGGCCCCGTCGGCGGTGTACTCGCTTTGACTTAGATCAGACGGCGGTATCAGTTCAAACTACATTGGTTCACTGCCGATAAACTCGGCCCCAAATGGGCAAAATGGATGTCCAGTGTTTATAACACCTAGATATGGTTAGCAAGCATTACTGGTCGGTGTGAATAGTATACAACTACTTATCTCCATTATTCAGTAGCATATATATACGTACGCAAGTAATGCTACTTGGTTTTCGGTCACTAGCATTTGAAACCAGTATGTATGTATCTTGTTATTTGAAATAAACCCACTTCCAACCAAGTAATTTATTACACTAGAAGTTTCGTTTGCTTAATTGTAACATTATGAAATATACTACCAGAAATCACTTATTCCTTGACTCCGTCGTTTTTTCTTCACATATAAGTGTCCTTGATGCCTATGTTTATCAAGAAATAACTGCTATACTTTCATTCAGATTTTATGGCTGTTTTTCTCCAGATTCTACGACAGCTTGACTGCACTCAATACACTTGGAATGCAGTCATATTAGCAAATCAGAAATGATTATCATTGAATTGAATCAGACAACCCAGTAATTAAAGAGTGTTCTATCAAGTCAGAGTTGCTCATCGATGAAAATGAATATTCAATGCTGTTTTATCTTTATGGAGAACATAAACAGTATTGACAATGGAGTGCAAATGCAACAAGGACCTTGGAGTGACCGATTGGAAGCAGCCATGTATTTTAAATCATCCATAAGATTGAAACATTAAAAATGAATGACTTTGAACCACATCAGTAATGCTTCCCAGACATTGGTTTTTATCATTCTGATAACACCGACTAGGTGGTATAAGGGTGCGTCAGTGCCATAGCAGTTAGGACGCTCGCCAATCATGCACATGGTCCGGGGTTCGATCCCCGGCCACTGGACGCACTCCTTTACCTCGCTAAGCCAGAAATAATGCTGGTGAAGAGGAAAGGTTGGGCATGAGGCTAGCAACCCCATCCTGTAAAACAAACACTGCTACAGAAACTTCAAGCCACTAGCTTGAAGCCATATGTTCCAATAGGGAACGTGAAGGATAAAAAAAGGTGGTTTAAGCCTCATTACCAATTATTTAAGACTTCGAAGATAGCTTTCAATTACAATGAAAAGCATCAATTTTCAAGTTTCACAGCCGTCAAAACGGTTTCATCTGAATGAACAACAACACACTGTCCTCCTAATTACATAATTAATAAAAAATTACTGGTAGTAATAGAACACCCTAACACTAACCTCAACCCTGTGTCATCAACTCCTTGTCCAAACAATACTTAAAAATGTGATCAGGATAAATCTGCGCCTCTGTTCATGGACAGTGTTCACACTGGCTTTATAATAGCATCAGCTTGTACAATTCAATGAATGGTATGCGTTCAGTGTCATCGATGTGTCTACATTCTATGGTCATTATTCTTTAGGTTGGATATCTATAACAGTGGTTTTCCAGCTCGTGTATACTTTTAAATCAATAAAAGAAGATCTACCACAAATCCGATCAGAGTGACTGGAGAAGTAAAAAGGAAAAGAGAGGACAGTTGGAGATAAATAGACTTTAGTGAGAAGTCGTGACCAGTGGGGTGCAGCAAGTCGGGTGTGAGGACAAATACTCGCCAAAGACATTGGCTAGGGGTCGCGCTATGTCGTGAATTGGCAGAAGTTATAATTCATGGGCTATTGGATCAGGTCCCAGTGGCTTAATGGTCTACGAGCACGCCTTGTAACCAGAAGGTCCTGGGTTCGAACCCTGGCTGTGGGTGCGTACTGGTTAAGAGTCCCAAACTAGGGCGCAACAGCTGTCCAGTACTCCCAGGTTTTCCAGTGGTTCTCTAACTAATGTCAGCTCATGATGAAAATCCTGTAACCAATCAAATCCCTACAAGCCAACACTTGAATAAATGTAGAACTTGGCCACTTTTAAAACCTCCAGAAAAAATTAGGAATCTACTGTTGGTGCCTAACAGGGAAATCCACAATGCTCATTTTCCCCCGTTTAAGTTTTGTGTATCCTGAGTACAACTTAATAATCAAACTATTCATATTATTACGTAACTCCTTTTCAACAACTGCCTGTGACAGACAGTTGACCTTTGTTACTACACAAGTTTCACGTACATCCAATTTTCTTGACCGTTTTGTATTAGGTAACTCCATCAAAAAAAATTACTAATTTTCAACTCTTTAGTTTAAATAAGTTTAACCAATTGTATTTTTGTTTGACAAACTTAATGTACACATACATACAAACTAACTCATATATATTTGCGATTGTGCACCTAAGAAAATGAATTCGCCGCGGGAAAGAGACTCTTCGCTGAGCTACGCGTTTTTTTAAATTTTCATTAATGCCTATATGGGGATTATCCATGAATTAAGTATTGTCAGTTGAATATATACCTGTATCTTCAATAAGTGACCTCTGAGACTCGAACCTTCCACTTATCTTTCTAATTCCTGAAGTGTTACCTATTTAAACATAAGGAAGATAAATCTGTTTGAATGGTGTGGTATGTAACAGCCTGAACAAGTGGAAGAAATTTTATTCGAAAGTGCATTTGAGAAATGCCAATCACATCATGTGAAAATTTTTAAAAAAACTGTGTCCCTTAGTTCAGTTTAGTCTTTCCAAGGGTCATAGGAATTATTAAACAGACAGTTGCAGCGAAGAAAATTTTGTAGAGATTTGATTGATTTTCAACCTGACTAGGGATTGATATCAGCTAGAGAACTACTGGAAACAGGACACAAGGTTTCGTCAGCCTATTTTTGAACTCATCAACAGTACGAACCCGCCTGGGGTGAACCCAAAACCTTCCGGTTACAAGTCAACCTCGTAGAGTACTCCACTGCTGGTAGCTGACTCAATGGCCACCACATGAATTCTAACTTCTACCAATTCATGATTTTAACGCGACTGTCACCAACTGCCAATATCCTTGGCAAGTATTTGTCCTCACTCGCGATCTGCTGGACCCCACTGGTGATGAATTCCCACTCGAGCTTACTCCAGGCAACGTCGTCCTGTGGTCGCCAGCCAGTCAACAACTAACGAACAGTTATTTTGTAGAGATTTGATTCATTTGAAGTTTGACTATGAATTGATATCAGTTAGAGAACTATTGGAGACTAACAGGGAGTGCTGGACAGCGGTTTCGTCTGCCCAGTTAGGTACTTATCGTCAGCACTTCACTTGTTTATTTATTTTCTTCCATTATCCAACTTGTGGATGGTTTTTCATTTTTTTTGACTATTTCGGTACCGCTTATTGTCTATGAATTCTAAATCACGCTGACGAAACAACTTCCCAGCACTCTCAGATGATTTTCAATGGCTGAGTTTTACTGACTATTTGATTGTGCATAAAATAATATTGAAAAAAAAATCTTTATTGATGGATTTGTAACTACACTTATTTCTCCCCTATGACTGCCTAATTTTTGTGCTGTGTAGACCAATCCAAATAGTGAATTATGGGCACAGAATTACATTTCCACGCACATCAATTGGACTAGTCCTTATTTTCTCTCTCAACCTTTCTTGATTTTTGCTCCCCCTTCCCTTGACTTTTTTTGATAAGCACAAATTCCGTATTTTATTTTTCCCAATCCCCCTTTTTCCCCAATCACTTGAATGTACTTACACATACACACACATACACGCACGCTCACACACGCAGACCTACACAAATACACGCATTGGCACGCATGGAAGGCACACAGATGCCCAACGAGTACGACGGATACAACAATACACACACGTATATAATAGAACACAATGGCACATAATATACGCTTTTGCTTGGATTGCATTCACCTGGCACATATATATATATATAGTTCACACATACGCACACACAAAAGACAGGAAATAAGAATACTGAGCTTTTCTTGTTGTTTCAGAATTTCCCCCATTAAAACAATAGAAAGTTGAAGTAATAATAAGAATAATTAGTACTAATATTATTACTATTAATATTGTAACTAGTATTAGATCTTTTGATCTAAAATAGACACTTGATCAATTTGTTCATCACACTTTGATCACAAAACAAAAGAAAACATTTTGAAGAAGGAATAAATCGGGAAGCTTGTCAGTGGATTTTGATTTTGGCTTTTTCTTTGCTTGTCTTTGAACTGACTATTCTATGACTTTGAAGAGCAACAGCAACAACAACATAGGCATCACACTGCTTCTTCTACTGGAAATAATTTTTATGAGCAATGATACCTTCTGTATTCTATTATATTCTGAAAAGAAAATATAACTAAATTTAATAAAATTTCAAATTTTACATTTATATAATATTATTCACACATTCCAAATAGTAATAAGAAGAAGAATCATAATAATTACAAATGGCATTCCCTCCGACTGGAGCTACATCCTTCTACACAAGTGCAATGTGCTCACAGAGTTCTTCATCGCCGACAAACATCCCTTTGATGATGAATGAGACACCTTCTGCTGGCGATAGAGTTTCGGTAAGACATGAATAAATATTTATTGTTACTTGTTAAATTTATTTTATTTGCTTTCAATTTTTCATTGATTTACTATTATTATTATTATTATTGAATCGAAATATTCAGGATGTTTGATCCTAGTAAGGACACTTTGACGATGTCAGAAACTTAACCTTCATGTAATTTAGTTGATACCTGTGACGTCTGAAACGATGAGTATTAGATTGGCAACTCAATGGGATCACTATTACTCACTGAAATACAGAAGATATATCTGAATGATGAGACCCAAAAATAGGATGAAACACACCTCCTGGGCTCTACTATAAGCTGTTGTGAACCTGTTTATTCAAAACAGTTTCGAGTAATAATGGGATAAATACTCTTGAATTTGTGTTTTTTTATCATTAACAAATTGATTGAACCAGTGATGGCATTTTGCAAAGCGAAAATCATTTAGGGTACCACTGAAAAATAGGCGAGATTGGACATTCCTTTTAGTCCTAGTTTTTGAACTCGGCAAGTTACTAGAATGGGAATCAACGACTGATGTATTCTCTAGTTCGTGATAATTAGTACCGCCACCAACCATTATCATCGGTGAGCATCTATTTCTTACACTCAACTTGGTGGAGACTTCATGGGTAATTATTTTTCACTGGAACTCGTTGAAATCTACAAATATACACATCATTGTTTCGTGTTTAATTGAATAACCTAAACGCATCAAACATTAATTGTTAAAATTTTGATTTCATACAAAGTGATATCATTAGTCAGATTAATAATATCAACATGAGTGTGTAGAGTTCAGTCTCATTTCACTTGATGGAGTGTGATACATAACATAAATTTAGAGCAATTTCTGTTCACTCCACAATTCCATCCTGATTTACCTAATATCACAAACGAGATTCACATTCATACTACTGATAAATAATCATTCAGACCATGATTACAAATTACCTTATTCAACCAACTTTAAAAACTTTACCTTACTGACTGAATCTCATACTTTCTGTTGATTAGCGATACTTCGATTCGATTTGGTCAATATTAATCAATGCGGGGAATTAGTGTGTTGTTATTCTTTCCTTTAGTTCCTAGAGGAAAATAGGGTTTCAGCCACACATCACCTGGATCCATGTCTGACCACATGCTTTCATCTCCTCTTCACATCACCTCCTCCATGTCACCCCACCCTCGCAATGACGACCAACTAGCCACTTCCCGTTCGGGTTCCACTCGAGCAATTGATGGTTTGTTTTCTCAGAGTATGGCCAATCCACCTACCTTTATTTCTTCATGCATATTTCTTGCACAATCTATTCTTGCTGGGTTGGTTCGCTCGTTGCCAGAGATCGCTGTTGCTGATCAACTCTGGCCGGCCATCTGATCCTGAGCGAAGTGTTGAGAGAAGACAGCTGTTGATGACGGTCTGTAGTAGTAGTAGTAGTATTTCGAAGTGTCCTTCGTGACGCTTTGGCCGAGTCTCTGATCCGTATAGTGAGTAGCACTGACTGACTTCACATTGGAGTTGAAAATCCGGATCTTATTTTTCATGCTGAGTGCTGAGTGTTGGTCTCCACACAGACTTGAGAGAAATGAAAGATTACCTTGCTTTCCCGATCCCCGCGCTTTGATATCTTCATCATTTGTGTCCACCCATGGTTAAAACGGTGCTTTCCACGTTGGCAGGTAGGTCGGTAGGTAAAGGAGGTTGATTCTTTCAGATTTCCCCCATTTATGCTGGCTGATTGTTGTCTGTTTTGTTGTTGTTGCTTTTGTTCTTGGCCAGGAATCTTTCCCACCTCTGTTTTCTCTATGTTCACCTGAAGTCTTATCTTCTCTGGATGCTTCTTCTGCCAACTTGTTGCTTTTCACTTGCATACCTTCCAGTTTGTGGGAAATCAGACAAATATCATCGCCGAAGTCCAGATCCTCCAAGTTTTTATGTGACCCCCTTTTAAGCCTGTTTCCCTGTTGCCCGGTGTGTGTCTGTCGCACTGGCCAGTCTACCACGGAATTATTATAGTAGATATTTATGTGGGAATATAGTAAACCGCCCTTAGTTTCAATTTATTTTATTTCTTTGTCTTCTCACTGGAACACAGCGCTTCAAGCCTCAAGCTATAATGTTTCAGTGGCATCGGTTTTATCTTTGTGGGATGAGGCTTTTATTCTCTCATTGGTTGAACATTCTCCTTTTTAACGGCCTCACTATTGGTTAAGTGAAGTTGAGGAGTACATCGGTAGGAGCTCGAACACTGGACCATGTATGCGGTTGGCAAGCATTCTACTGCTGCACCATTGACGAACACAAATCTCCATAAATGGATCCAATTACACTGGTGAAAAAAATAAGATATACTATGGAGGTTCCTCACTTTAGCTTTCTATGAAATATTCTATATTTGACTTGATTAAATTTTCTCACAAGAATGATTTAAATGAGTTGTTTAAAACCATCCACTTGAAATAGTAGCGCCTGCATGTTTTTAATGATTGGATATAATGGACAGGAAGCCCCTGCTGAGCTAGGTTCCGTGCTAGTTGGCAGTCATCAGCAAGGCACGTCTGCAATGTTGACGGGAACAACTCATACTCCTTCTAAGTTTCGACCCAGTGTCACCGAGTGCTGACTGCAGTCAGAGACTTCACTACTAAGCTATTTGGGCCCGCCATTGACCTCCTCCTGTAGGTCGAAATATGTCCTGTATCGAAATATGTCATTTGACTATGACCGTTGCACTTAGAAACTAGTTTACTATTTTCAACAGTCCTTTAGTAATGATATTTTAGTGAGAAAAAAGTTTTTTTGTTACATTTAATTAGTCGATCTGTCTATGGAGTTTTAAGAATACATGGAATTGGGGTCATCAAGATACCCTCAAGTGATTATTTAATAGAGATCTTTTTATGTTAAATGTTATCTGGCCTTTCATTGGTACCTCTGTTTTACAAGCTGTGTTTGAAAAAACACCTTGTACATTGAATGTAACTATGGCGCTAGTTTGAAATGACTGTGCAACATTTTCTCATTACATCTTACACTACTGAGTTTTAAATTAGTGATCATTTGATTATCACATGTTTACATTTGTGAATGATTTTATAAACCAGTTGCCTTCTGTAATCCAGACATTTTTTTCCTTTAGCATTCAACTGGAAAATAAAGCTAATTAACCTGATGACGTAAAGCTATTTATTTCCACATCAGTAACAATTAAGTGGTTTGTATGTCTAGTTCATCTAGGAAACCACAGAAGTTTATTATGCTCGAGTAATTATACATTTATTTTATTTTTTTTCAAAATTAACTCATCTAATATTCATGGAATAGGAAATTAACAAAAAATGTTTTACAATGTGTGGTTTTTCTCAATTTATTTGGTGATAAATGCTCTATTTGAATGACGCGAATTACACAGTAGCTCAAGGAAAATCTACTTATTTCTTCTCATCCAACTGACTTCCAAATGGAATGGAATATTGGGTCTTCAAGCTTTGAATTTCCAGTGGCAGTGGTGTTGTTCTTCTCCTTACCGAAGGGAGGTGATTGCTAGTCTCACCCTTAACCCTACACTCCCACCTTCTTACTTTTTCAGCCCTACCATCAGTGAATAAATTAGGCGAGAGCATGGGAGTGTGTTAGTGGGAAATCGAACCCTGAACCACTGGCAGCGTGGTTGGCGAGAATTCCACCGCTTAACCACCGATGCATATATAAGAAGTCTGTTAATTGATGAAAAAGGTATATAGAATGAAAGTTATTATTATTCCCTTGAGTTCCTAGTGGAACATAGGGCTTCAAATGCACGCCTCCACTTGCTTCTGTCTTCTGCTGTACTTTTCACTTGCATCCATCTTAGTCCACTCCTGTTTCATCTCCTCTTCACACGATCTCCTCCGTGTCACCCTTAGACGTCCCACTCGCCGCTTCCCATTCGGATTTCACTAGAGCACTGGCCTGACGCGCGATGTCACCCAGCGGTCTCCTCAGCGACTGTCCAGTCCATCTCCACTTTCTCCTGCATATTTGTTGGGCGATTGGTTCTTGTTTTGTTTGTTCCCATGGTTTCTTGTCGGTGATTCTTTCAGGCCATCTGGTCTTTACTATAGAACGGAGACAGTTGTTGATAAAGGTGTGCAACAGGCTGTTGGAAATATTCTTTGTGACCCGCCAAGTTTCTGATCGATCCATATAGAAGAACTGACTGACTTGACGTTTGTATTGAAAATCCGAATTTTGTTGTTGATGCTGAGTGACAGCTGGAGATTTCCAGATTGGTTTCAGGTTGATGGATGAGTTTCTTGCTTTTCCAATTCTTGATTTGACATCCTCGTCTGTTCCTCATGTAGTTGAGACAATGCTCCCTACATAAGTGAATGAAGTAACCTCTTTCACCAAATCCCTTCCGTTGATGGTGATTGGCGCTGGATGTTGCTGTTGTTGTTGCTGATTGGTTTGTTATTTTCATAACCTCCATCTTGTCAATGTTCACCTGGAGTCCTGTCTTTACTGCTTCTTCAACCAGTTTGTCGGTTATTGCTTGTAAGTCTTCGATTTTGTGTGACATCAAACATAAATCATCTGCGAAGGAGATTCGCCATACATTTAACATTGTGGTACTGTGAACCAGTGTAGAATATTTATTTCAGTACAGAGTTGTCATGATCCAAAAACCTTTGAGGTTTGGATCCTAGATATTATCATTTCACAAATCTGTATGTTTACACCCCATACTTTGTACACAGTTCAATAATATTTTTGATCTGCTAATCTTCTAAGTTGCCACAGAGAGACTGTCTTAAAAATAACTAACAAGGTTAACTCATCAAGGCATGTTGTAGTGCCCTTCTGTTGAAGTTAACACTACAGAAATCAATATTCTGGAAATATATGTAGTTCAGTTGGTGAAGTCATACAATTGTCACCGTTATAAAATTAGTGATTCACCGCATATATATATAAAGGCTAGTCACTTTGATCTTAAGGATTTGTAAGTCAGTACATA